AACAAACCAGAATGCAGAGTTTATAGAGACCAAGGCCAAAAAGGATTGACCATCCAGTCTGATCACCAGCATTACCTAAGCCTGAGACTCCATCTCCGACATTCCTGCATTGAGCACAGATCTGGGAGTTGAGCTAGAGTGAAGCTTTTAGAAAGAGATGTCTAATCTTGATTTAAAGATGCATTTCCAAGTCATTTCTAGCCTGAATATCCAGCAGTTGGATCAACTTCTAGCTTTATCTGCTGCATTAACAACCCCTCTGTTGTCAAGAATCTTTTTCCCATGTAGCGTCGTCCAGCCATCTTTTAACCTCCTCCTGTCACACAGAGCACACGTTGTCAGGCGAGTCTTCCAAACACTTGAATCATTCTTATATCTCTTTCCATCTTGTCAGCTTGTTTTTAGAAGTGTGGCCATCCAAACAGGACACAATATCCAGTAATGCTGTTACTTTTGTACATAGCCCATCCTAGCTTCTGCCTGAAATACCCCTGTTTATCCATCTAATGTGCATTCACCCTTTTAGCTACAGTGTCACATTGGAAGGTCATATTCAACTGTTTATCTACCATGACCTCATGTCATTTTCAGAGTTGCTGCTTTCCACAGTACAGTAAACATCTTAAACAGTTGACCTGCACTCTTAGCTGTGTGACCTTGTTCTTTTGGACTTCCAATAGTTAAAAGTAATGCTCCAGATGACTAGAACTGAAAGAAATGAATCAAACTAATGTACATATTTTTCTTTTCTCACCAGATTGCTCATTGTGTGCATTTGATAGTTCAGTGCCGTTTCACTTTTAACTTTCCACAGTACAATTTTTCGTTGCTGGAAAAAAAACCCGTTATAGGCATCAACGTGAGGTTAGGAAGAAAAATCCTTCTAAAAGTGTTTTAAAAGGAATATAAATATTGGGAGATTTCTCCAATCCTGCAAATGCCCAGGACATTCCATGGCGTCCCTCTAGCATGTTGTAGAACACAGAATCAGAACCAGGATGTTTCCTGGAAAACTGTTACAAACTGAGGTCTTTTCCAAATATGGCAATTTTAAAAAATTGTAGTTTCTGTCTAAAATATATGCTGCCTTCACCACTTAATGTGGGTGGTGTTTATAGGGAGGCAGTTGGGTCTAGTGACTAGAACTGAAGGCTGAGAGTCAGGACTACTAGCTTCCAATCCTGGATGTGGAATGGGAGTAGAACACTAGGGGCTAGCCCACCTGTGTTCTGTTCTCAGCTTTGGAAATGCTGTGGGAGAAGCAGAGATGTGGCGGGCGGAAGAGATTTGAGCACGACACTCCCATCATAGCATGTTAAAAAAGCAACGTTAAAAAGTGGTTAATAAGATAACTGCGTAATCACTAACAAAAAATCTTAGTGGTTACTTGCTGCAGACTCCACAGTATCTGCAGCACAGCCAGCTCCCCGGGAGTGGAGATGGCAGCCACTGTATGCCAGGAGCTGACTCCCAGCCTCATTCCTGGGGAGCTGGTTGTACTGCATACACTGTAGTATGCAGAGCACACAGTGTGGAGCAGCAGATGGTTCCCTGGAAACTGGTGTGCACTGAAAACTGGCTTTTAAGAGGACTTCCACTTCCAGCCCCACTTCTGGAGCTGGCTGCTGCCCCATGCTGTGAGCTCTGATACAGAACCAGCAGCATGGGGTAGCAGTCAACTCCCCAGGAACAGGGCTGGGAGTTGGCATGTAACCATTACAGTAACCAATAAGTTCATGCTTATCAGTTAACAATTTAAACAGTTACACTGTTACATCCCTAGTTGTAACTGTTCCCCCTGCCCATTCCTGGTGTCCTGCAGTGACCCTGTTCGTTCTGTTGCTAACTCTGGATCTTTGTGGAGTTTAAGCATCACAAGGGAGGTTTCCTTGCATCTCTGCTGTGAGTGGAAATTTCCTCTGAAATGCTATTTCTTTCCCTCCTGCAGCTCTGGCTGAAATCCTCAGTGTTAAGGACATCAGCGGCAGGAAGCTTTTCTACGTACATTACATTGACTGTGAGTAAACTGACTGGCCCTTGGGTGACTAATTTCCTAGTCTCACTCCCACTGACACAGGCTTGTTCATGTTCTGAACCAAAATAGGGAGGTCATCTGAGTTCTGGAGAATAGGATGCGGAGTCTTTTCTTTCTAGTGGACGTAGTCTCCGGTCTGGCCTTATACCGTGGGGACTGGCTGGCTCATGGGGCAGGGAATGGAGCATGGGGCCTTTCCCCTCTAGGGGGTGCTGGCTCTGCCCAGCTCAAGGAGCTCTGGATCTTTTGAGGTTTCCCATGAGAGTGCAGTGACAAATGGGGTCAGAGACTCAGGAGAGGGGGGGCTTTTTCTTCAGAATCAGAGCTCACCATCTAGACAGGGAGGCACTGTGTTCTCTAGCCTGTTTGGGGGCCTTCTCCTGCACGCGCGCACACACACACACTCGGGGGTATTATGTATATGACCATAGTTATGAATACAGATGTGAAGGGTTAACTGGTGAGGCTAGAGCAGCTCCCTGCCTGTCATGGGCAGGGTGCTGCTTCAGCTCCGCAGTGGGCTGGAGCGCCTAGCCAGGGGCTGCTCCGATCAGGATGCTGGAATATCCCCTGCAGCTCCAGCCCCATTGGCTAATTTTCTGGGCTCCAGCCCAACAGTGGGTGGGAGGGGGGGTGCTTCAGCTGGACTGCAGCCCCGCCCCACCCCATGCTGCTCATCCCCATTTAATCCGTTAACCAGTTAAACAATATGTGTAGCCAGTTAAATGGAATTTTACATCCCTAGTTACAAATATCCTGAGTTCTTGGGCTTGTTACTTTCCCTTCTGAAGACCCTTCCTCTCTCACTGTATGGAGGAAGCCAGGACTCCTCCTTCAGGAGCTGAGACTGATGGAGCTAAATGTTTTGGGTTCAACTGTCCAAATGGCCAGAGGGTTCTGCTGTTTACCAGTGTGAGGTATTGCCTTCCCCTCTGTAGCTTATCCATCCTTCTCCAGCCTTGGGCAGTCTTAGCACCACTTTTCTGCCTTGACTGGCTGTCCGCAGGTGGTACTTTCCTCCTCTCCCATGACCCTGACAGAGAGAGCTGCTAACCCAGTCTCCTCTTGTCCGCAGTTAACAAGCGTCTGGATGAATGGGTTACCCATGACCGGCTGGACTTGAAGAAGATCCAGTTCCCCAAGAAGGAAGCCAAGACTCCCACCAAGAATGGGCTTCCTGGCTCCCGGCCCAGCTCTCCAGAGCGGGAAGTGGTAAGGGGCTGGGCGCAGGCCATGGAGGATGCTAGCGCTGCTTTCGGGGATGTTATGGGGGGTGGGACAGGATGAGAGTGCCAGCCTGAGGATCAGGAGGAGGACACTAGGGATTGTTGGAAGGTCTCGAGATTGCAGGGGATAAAGAATGGGGAGATCTGGATGTTTGTCCAGAACAGTGTTCTTTCTGATTGCCCAGGCTGGCTCCCTCTACCTGATCCATGGAGGATGCTAGCGCTGCTTTCGGGGATGTTATGGGGGGTGGGACAGGATGAGAGTGCCAGCCTGAGGATCAGGAGGAGGACACTAGGGATTGTTGGAAGGTCTCGAGATTGCAGGGGATAAAGAATGGGGAGATCTGGATGTTTGTCCAGAACAGTGTTCTTTCTGATTGCCCAGGCTGGCTCCCTCTACCTGATCTCGACCCGGGGTTGTAGGCATACAGATTTCCAGGGCAGGGATGCT